GTAATTCAGTGTTATCCTCATGTATTAAATAGTGACTTAAAATAGATTTTTTAGGATCTTGCTATGTCAGTGAGGAAATTTTTCTCGTATTTCTTACTTTGAGGTACCATAACCACTGGAGCTTTCTAAGGTTTTTTTTTTTAATTGTTTTTTTTTTCCCCCTCTTTCAGTTTTTGGGCGATGCTCAGGGGTTACTTATGACTCTGAGCACAGGAATAACTCCTGGCAGTATTTGTGCGGACCATATGGAATACCAGGGATCAAACCTAGGTCAGCGACATGCAAGGCAAATGCCTACCACCTGTACTATCTCTCTGGCCTCTCCAGTTATTTTCAGCATTTAAACATTGAGCTTTTCTTCGTATCCTTCCAGATCTACTAATTCGTTCTTCTAAGTGGTTTTTAATTTAAAGGCCAAAGAGTGGGACTGGAGGGATGGTACGTGGGTTAAGGTGCCTGCGTTGCATGAGGCTGACCTTGGTCCTCTGAGTGTAAGTGGGTGTCGCCCTGCAGGCTGAGAATCACTGGGAGGGACCCCAGGTCTCCTGAGAATGGAGTGGGAGTCTCTCCCTCACCCCAACTCCCCCAAACAATTGAAAGTCAAGAAACACTTGTTAGAGATGGCGCCTGTTTTGTAAGTGAAGAAATTGAACTTGGGTGATCTACTTAAGGTCACAGCAACTTTTTTCTGTGAGCTCGAGCGGGCCCAGTAACGTCTCCATGGCTGGAGCGATAGCACAGCGGGTAGGGTGTTCGCCTTTCAAGCGGCCAACATGGCTGACCCAAGTTCGATTCCTCCGCCCCTCTCGGAGAGCCCGGCAAGCTACCGAGAGTATTCGATATGCCAGACACAGTAACAACAAAGTCTCCAATGGAGACGTTACTGGGTCCGCTCGAGCAAATCGACGATCAACGGGAGGGCCTTTACCTTTACCTTTCTGTGAGCATTGATAACTAAATCCTTGCTCCTTATTATCTTTCTCCCTTCCCACTTATAAGTAAGTTTCGTCTTGAAGAACACTCCTCCAGTCCCCCAAGAGTATGGCTGGTGCAGGTTAGCCATGGCATGGACGTGGTTCCTGACCTCTGGGGATTTAGAATTCAATGACAAAGACTGACAGGGAAATGTGACACATGTGGGTGTGTGATTATTTGGGAAACGACTGACGCAGGGGGCAGAGTCCTTGGGACACGGGCTGGGAATGGGGCTGCTCATTCAGGCAGGGTGGTTGGGGAATGCCTCGGGAAGCGATACTGAGTTGAGGCCTGGGAGAGGCAAAGGAGCGCGGGAGGAGTCCTGGGAAGGAGCATGCCGGGAGAAAACGGCCTTTGATGGGCACCCGGAGGTAGGAAGGAGCTTGGCGCCTGGCGAGGTTGGAGAAGCTTCAGCTGCTGCCAGACCCGAGCAGTTAAGAAAGTTTCATCATGACCGTGGCAGTTGTCAAATTGCTAGTTAAGGTTCCCATCAGCCCTTCTAAATACTTGCAGGAAATTCCACTGACACCTGTGCTTTGTAAAAAATCTGCACTGTTCATTCCTCTTTATAACCACATAGGCAGCCTGAGGAATCTGCTGGCAAAGTCTTTATTTTCACATTGTTATGTGAAGTCTTATCTTGTAATGAAAACATATCTTTATCTGGGTCAAAACACATGCTGAGTTTTCTGGAGCGACTGCTGCTTGTAAGTAGGGGTAATAGTGAAAACAAATCCCCTTCAGATGGGACTTGTTTCAGAGAGATATGAATGCAGAGCATAAATCTGTTTATCCTATCAAAATGAATGGCTAGAAAGATCTGTTATTGCAGGTAAAACAGTAATAAATAAAAAAAAAGTCGCCTGTTTTAGCATATGAATATTTTTCAGGGCCTTCTATTATCTTCTTGCTGCTATTTATGTAGCATCTGTGTATGTGGGTCTTCTATTCTGGTGTTATTTATCATTTTGTGCCTATCTGTGCTTGTAAATGTTTTCTGAAGCTATCAGAAGACAGAACTGGTCTTTTTCTTCCTTTTATTATCATTTAAAAATTGCTATTCTGGAATGTATGTAATATTTTCCAATATTTTCCTAGGTTTTAATAAAAAAGATCCATGAGGTTTTTCTAGGTTAAAGGGGATTTTTTAAAAAAAATTTTTTTTGGCTCTTCCTGGCGGTGCTCAGGGCTTATTACTGGCTCTGTGCTCAGGGATCACTCCTGGCAGGCTCAGGGTGCTGGGGATTGAGTCCAGGTTTGCCGTACACAAGGGAAATAAGTGCTTTACGTACTATATTATCTCTCTGGCTCCAGATTCTGTTTTTTAAATATCATTTTTTAGGCACCATGATTTAAAATATTGCTAATATCAGATTTTACGCATACAATGCTCCAAGATCATATCCCCCACCAGAGTTCCCCCTCTTACTCATCCTAGGCCTAACCCGTGCCGCCCCTCCATCCCCCATGTCCCTTGACCCCCATCCCTGCTATTTCTGGGATTCTAAATGATGAGAGAAAGAAGCAGACTGCCAAGAACCTGAAAAGTACCTCACGCAGCGTAGCATTTCACAGCCCTGTCTTCTTCTCAGAGCCTTTCACTTTATTGTGCTAAAAAACAATTCATGTCGGAAAAAAATACAAGTATTGACATATAAGCAGTGTTGATTAAAAAAATTCTTGCACTTGTGATGTATGTTTATCTCTTTTTCTTTTCTTCTCTACACATACACACACACAACTTAAATCCTAAATATCTGTATTTTTCTGTTTTTCATACTTTGTCATCATAATCCAACTTTGTATTTCTTTGGCTTTATTTTTTTTCTTTTTTTTGCTTTTTGGGTCACACCCAGCGATGCTCAGGGATTACTCCCAGCTCTGCACTCCTGATGGTGTTCAGGGGACCATATGGGATGTTGGAAATTACTCCTGATGGTGTTCAGGGGACCATATGGAATGTTGGGAATCGAACCTGGGTTGGCTGCATGCAAGGCAGTTGCTCTACCCATTGTACTGTCACTCAGGCCCCTGCTTGGCATTTTTATCTGCTGTGTTTAAGATACCTTGGATGCTTTTTTCTTTTTTTTGGCTTTTGGAGAGGCCGGGTTGGGGGTTGGAGGTGGGGTTGGGGACTGGACTTGTAGCTCACTGGTAGGTTATATAACTGCATCCGTGAGGCCCCGGACTTGGGCTTAAGCAACCCCAAGAAAAATGCCACCAGACCAACAGAAAAGAAACATTGAGATGCCGGCTGGAATGATTTCTGATCAATCTCTGTGCTTTTGGTTTCATGTGTCAAAGTATTTCTCTGGTGTCTTATTCCTGTGCCCTTACCCCAGAGGGGGGCATAGTCGCTCGTCACTGGCACACTGGTGTGTCAGTGGCCTTCAGAGTAAATAGGGACAGAGCTTTTTTTTTTTTTTTTAGTTTTTTTAACTTTTATTTATTTCTTTTTGCTTTTTCGGTCACACCCGGCGATGCTCAGGGCTTACTCCTAGCTCTGCACTCAGGAATCACTCCTGGTGCTTGGGGGACCGTATGTGATGCTGAGAGTCAAACCTGGGTCGGCTGTGTGCAAGGCAAACGCCCTACCGCCGTGCTATTGCTCCAGCCCCGCCCCCGGCAGAGCTTTTAAGGCTTCTATTTTCTACTCATACTGTGGGATGGTGGGAGGATTTCCCCCTTACCCTGTGAATGGGCCTCTTACCGGGCTGCTGCCCAGTTCAACATTTTAGAGATCCAACCGGCCCCCGCCCATCCGCACCCTTTGTAAGCAAGGGGATGCTTAGTGCAATACTTTAGGTTCCTTCCCCCCTTTCCTTCCTTGTTGCTGTGGAGCCTGGGGTCACAGGATTGGTTGGGGTGCGCCGTGTGGCTGGGGTGTTGCCATATGTTTGGTGAGGTGCTGCGGCATCGCCCGCTTGCTTGGGTGCTCTGGACCCTGCACACACTTGCTTGGGGCATCCCAGAGCCAGTGCTGCCGCGGGGATGGCATTTGGCGATTCGGTGGGGTTGCCGGGGAGCCAACTTGGGACCACAGGTCTGCAGGACAGGCGTTCTATCACCGAGCCTCATTCCCGGGTCCCAGAAAATGTTTTTTTTTTTTAAATGGATTTTAAAATAGAGATATGATTAACAAGCAGTACAATTTTATGGTGTCCAACTAATGATTAGCTAATTAATAGATTATTTATAGCACATTACAGAAGGATCACTGTTGCGGTCTGTAACCATGAATACAGAATTAACTTTGTTCTTGTGATAGACCTTTTATATATTGGTTCAGTATTGTGTAGGCCTTTATTTATTTTTAAGATTTTTAAAAATTGAATCACTCTGATATAGTCTCTTACAAAGCTGTTCATGATTGGGTTCCAGTCATACAGTGTTCCCACACCCATCCCTCCACCGGTGTACATTTCCCAGCACCAGGGCCCCCGGTTTCCCTCCCGTCACCCCCCACTTCTCCCAGCCTGCCTCAGTGACAGGCATCTCTCTCTCTCTCTCTCTCTCTCTCTCTCTCTCTCTCTCTCTCTCTCTCTCACACACACACACACACACACACACCCCTTTTGGGCATTGTGGTTTGCAATATTGATACTTGAAATGTTATCAGGTGTATCCGTTTACCTACTTTTAACACTCAGTTCTTGTCCAGCGTGATCATTTCCGGCTATTATTATCATTCTGGTCCCTTCTCTGTCATACCTACCCTCCACACCCCACACAGTTGTGGATGATTCCAACAGTCCTCCTAGCCCCTTTGTAGGTCTTTTAAATAAGTAGTACAGTATCAGTACTTTATATAGCAGACCATACATTATTTCCCTGATATTTATTTTAATAACTAAAACTTTATACATTTATCTCTAACACAGTTGCTGAGCATGACCTTCTCATTCCATCCATGTTATAACAAAATGCAAAATTTCATGTTTTCTAATGAATGCTTATTTTTGTTGTAGTCCTTGTGTTACCCAACCTTATAATATGCTGTTACACACACTTTCTTTTCATTCTAGTTCCCAAAGACCCCAAGCCCCAGTGGAGACGAGTAGCCTGGAGTCATGATTGTACCCTGCTGGCCTATGCTGAAAGCACAGGAACTGTGAGGGTGTTTGACCTCATGGGAAGTGAACTCTTCATTATCACCCCGGTATGGACACACTTGAACTAAGGACAGTTTTGGGGCTACTTTTCATAAATAAATGAAAGTGACGAGCTGGGAAATACAGATCAAACCAATAAGGTTTCATGCTCAGATAATAAGAATTTAGTTTGTGATCAGAACCCAGAATATTCATTGTTCATTATTTGTATTTTATAATACCTGATTCATGTATAATTTTTAAAACATGCTAGTAAATATTAACTAGACATTCAGAGAAGTGGTATAAAATTTCATTGAGGAAAGGAAGTCTCTGGGTCACCACAACAGGAATAGCTTTGTGGGGTAGACTTTGATAGGTAGCGGAGGCTGGAGTGATAGTATAGCAGGTAGAGCACTTGCCTTGCATATGCCTGCCATGGATTTAATCTTTGGCATCCCATATATTCCCCTGAGACTGCAAGGAGCTGTCCCTGAGCAAAGAACCAGGAGTAAAGGTCCTGAGCACTACTGTGTGTGAGGCCCAAAAATCCCTTCCCCCATCAAAAAAAATAAAAATTGACAGGGAGGTTGAAGAAAACAGTAAATCGTGGCAATAACTGGTATTTGATGCTTTATGCTTTGTGAATCTCACACACACACACACACACACTCACACACACACACTCACACACTCGTTTACTGGTGACAACAACCCTTTGAGTAATTTGAATACATTACCTCATTGTACAGTTTAGAGAAATAATAGAGAGTAAGATGACTTTTTTCTGTGACTTTTCCCACGTTCAGTGCCTTCTCATGTGAACAAGAGACAGGCAGTTAGAACAGTGGCTTCAGTTCTTGTTGATTTGAAACCGAAACACCTGGGAAGCTTTATCAAGGGATAAAAGAGCCCAAGTTACGGGTCTCCCAGGCTCCACTTAGAAAAAGTTTGAATTGATTGGACTAGGCCTTGGGTTTTAATAGTGTTTTCAGATTAAAAACACTAATCTGAAATGAGATGAGAACTAATGCTATAGAGAAAGATTTTTGTTCAGAAGAAAAAGTCCTTGGCTTCAGAAAGAAGTCCTTGGCTTCCTATTCTGGAAGTCCTGGGGAACCAAACTAACGTGTTTGTGTTATTATTTTCTACAATACCACTGTCTAATAGAAATCAATTATGGGGTGATGACACTCGCCTTACTTGCACGCAACTGACCCTAGTTTTGTTCCTGGCACCACATGTGGTCCCCTGAGCAAGTCAGGAGGAATACCTGCGCACAGAATCAGGAGTAATCTCTGAGCCCCTGGACAAAAAGCGGAAAGAAATGTAATGTGAACAGTAAATGTAATTATATATGTAATTAAAGATTTTGTAATAACGGTATTTAAGACTTAGTAGGTGAGATTTAATGTTCTATTTTACATTAAAAAGTAATTCATTATTAGATCATCCATTATATCTAAAAATGGCATTTTAATGTGTAAGCATTGTACAATTACTGGGATAGTTCATATTTCTTCTTTTTTTGTGCTTTTTGGGTCACATGTGGCGATGCACAGGGGTTACTCCAGGTTTTGCACTCAGGAATCACTCCTGGCGGTGCTCGGGGGACCATATGGGATGCTGGGAATTGAACCTAGCTCGGCCATGTGCAAGGCAAATGCCCTACCTGCTCTGCTATTGTTCCAGCCCCCTAGTTCACATTTCTTAGTCTTAAACTTCTGTAATTCTGTATATGTGTTTAGAGGGAGGGGGTTTGGCCCCTACCCATAGTGCTCATTGGCTATTCCTTGCTTTGTGGTCAGGGGTGACCCTGACAGTGCTTGAGGGTTATATGTGATACCGGGGATTTGAATTGGCTGGGTGAATTCCAGGGCAAGCACCTTAACCCGTGACTCTCTTTCTGATCCCTGTATTTCTATGTTTTTACTCTGTCCTTCTTACCTTTCACTTTTAATTTGTCTTTCGGGGTCACACCTGGTTGTGCTCAGGGCTTACTCTTGGCTCTGTGCTCAGTGATTACTCCTGGTGGGACCCTGGGGACCATAAGAGGTGCCAGGGATCGAACCTGGGCTAGCCGTGTGCAAGGCAAGTGCCCTACTTGCTCTACTAGCTCCCTGGCCCATATTTGTGGTATATCTTACTTCAGGTGGATCACATTTCAAAGGTTCAGGAGTCATAGACAGGTACAGTGTTTTATCATGTGTTGCCAGATTATGTGAAGCCATTCAAGGTGATAAAATTTAATATATCTGCTTTCCAAGACACATATGCCTTTAGGTCTATATAGCAATATGATCTTATACTTGGTACGTAAAGACAGGTTGAGTATTTTAAGTATGTTACTTTTCTTTAAATTGATGATTAGGTAGCACCGTAGCACTGTCCTCCCATTGTTCATCGATTTGCTCAAGCGGGCACCAGTAATGTCTCTATTGTGAGACTTACTGCTACTGTTTTTGGCATATTGAGTACACCACGGGTCGCTTGCCAGGCTCTGCCATGCGGGCGGGATGCTCAAAATAATTGAAGAGTTTTATTTACTTATTTTGGTGGAAATGATTTTGTTTATTGTATTAATAAGTTTATTTAGTTTTTGTCCTTAGGGCCTATTCCTGACTCTGCATTCAGGGATCACTCCTAGGGAAGCTCAGAGAATCATATGGGATGCTGAGGATTGAACCTGGGTAGGCCTTGTGGAGGGCAAACATTCTACACCTGTACTGTCTCTCCAGGCCCCCATTTTAATTTGTTTTTAATATTTTTAATTATAGCTTAGGCCTATAGTTACAATAGTTTAAAGTTTGTGGTATTGATATAAAAAGCCACTGCATCCCACCAACACCAAAGTGCCCATGACCCTCCTCCACAGTCCTTATGTCACCTCCTATGTGACCTTCATTCCCTCTCCTCCTCCTACTGTTGTCAGGCTTGTAATCCAAGGCGAAGGGTTTGTCATTGTTTGAGGGTGACCATTCCCTCATTTTGTGAATGCTATTTAAAAAGCACCAGTTATTGCTGGTGTGGAAATCAGCATTTGAGAACTTATACCTGAATGCTAAATATTAGAATTTTGAGGCTGTATCTTGGTAGTACTTTTTTACTTTTCCTTTTTTTTTCAATAGAAGTACAATATGAATGTAAGTTCACTTGTCTACGTGAATGTGTCATCCAAGGAGGATGCTGTGGTATTGCCTGTGGTACTGACCTCTGATCTGTATTTGAGTGCTTGGTCCTAGACCCATTGACTTGTATAATTCTTAAGTATGGGCCGGAGTGATAGCACAGCGGTAGGGTGTTTTCCTTGCACGCGGCTGGCCCGGCTGATCGGGTTCGATTCTTCCGCCCCTCTCAGAGAGCCCAGCAAGCTACCGAGAGTATCTAGCCCACACGGCAAAGCCTGGCAAGCTCCCCGTGACATATTCGATATGCCAAACACAGTAACAACAAGTCTCAAGATGGAGACGTTACTGGGCCTGCTCGAGCAAATCTATGAACAGCGGGAGGACAGTGACAGTGACAGTGATTCTTCAGTGTACTAATTAATGTTGGGATTCTATTATTGAAGGTATATCAGTGTGTTGGCTATCCTCCAATTACAAGTTGCATTAAGTGTTAGTTTCTACCTAGTCTTCCTTTTGTCACTTAATTGCTCCTCTCTTCCACAGGCATCTAGTTTACTAGGCGATCTGAGCTATGCCATTGCTGGGTTGATATTTTTAGAGTACAAAGCAAGTGCACAATGGTCTGCTGAACTCTTGGTCATCAATTACCGAGGAGAACTTAGAAGTTACCTTGTAAGGTAAAAACACACTTTATTGGGGGAAATTCTATTGGAACGATGGTTATTCCACTGGGATCAGGTTATTTGTTAATTTTTCTTTCAGTATTTTGCTATGAATAGTTGTGAATATAATGGGAAGTCTAAAAACTGTATAGTGAACACTCACATATTTGCACTGACCTGTGAGTAGCACGTTATTATACTTGTAATGCCATATTTCTGGTAGCCATCTTTTATGACACTCATCTCTCTGGTCATTAACCTCATTTTTTTTTTTTTTTTTTTTATTTATTTATTGAATCACTGTGGGAAAGGTTACAAAGCTTTCAGGTTTATGTCTCAGTCATGCAAATATCAAACACATTTCCCTTTACCAATACTTATTTTTTCCCATGAAGAACCCCAATAAAACCCCACCCCCCACCCCTCCCCGTCCCTGTGAGGCAGATGAATTCTAGTTAACACTCTATCCGCTTTGATTAGATTGTTTCAATAAAAGATTCACCACTATTATTTAGAGTTTACCACCCCCCCCCCCCCCCCCCCAAATCAGACATGCTGAAAAAGCATTGTGAAGTGATTTGCTTTCTCCAGCTGGGTTCAAGAATTAAATGTTGGTTTTGGATTTCTGCTATTTTACTTATTGACCCTGGAAGTATTTCTACTGAAAGTCAGATAGTTAAGAAATTGGTTTCTGTGTTCTGGAGTCGTGGCCGTGCTGGAGAGCCGCTCGTGGGGGGCAACTGGTGGCCTCGGTAGGGCGTGAAGGGCGGAGCGAAACGCCCCCCTTCCCATGAGGTTTTAGTCGCCCCCACACTCCCGGCTCATACCTGCTGTCCACAAGGCTCCCATGTGGCCGCCATCTTTCTTTCCAGAGAGGAGAGGGCGAATGGGGCAACACCCTTTCCCCTCCGGCAGACTTGATGGGCTGGATCAACGCATAGTCCATTCACTTTTCTGCTCCAAGCTGCTGGGTTCTGCATTAAGTCCTTGTGCTTCTGGGGCCGTGGCTGTGCTGGAGAGCCGCTCGTGGGGGGCAACTGGTGACCTCGGTAGGGCGTGAAGGACGGACCGGAACGCCCCCCTTCCCATGAAGTTTTAGTCGCCCCCACACCCCCGGCTCATACCTGCTGTCCACAAGGCTCCCATGTGGCCGCCATCTTTCTTTCCAGAGGGAGGAGGGCGGAAGGGAGCAACACCCTTTCCCCTCTGGGCAGAAATGATTGCCTGGATTAACGCATAGTCCTTTCACTTTTCTGCTCCAAGCTGCTGGGTTCTGCATTAAGCCCTTGTGCTTCTGGGGCTGTGGCCGTGCTGGAGAGCCGCTCGTGGGGGGCAACTGGTGACCTCGGTAGGGCGTGAAGGACGGACCGGAACGCCCCCCTTCCCATGAACCTCATTTTTTAAATGTATTTCAATCTGTTTGTATTTTAGTATGAGTATTGTTAATTGAAGTTTTTTCATTATTCAGTGCATATGAAACTTCATTATTTCATTTTTACTTTTGAGAAAAAAATTGCATGTTATAAATTTTAACTATACCTGGCAGTTTTGACAAGTGCAAACCCTTGTCAAGGTCCAGAATATTAGCATTATGCTAGACAATTTTCTTATAATCTGTGTTCAATAAATTTGTGTACTCTTATTCACAGAACAGCTACTTTAATTTTTTCCCATAACCATAATTTCTTGCCTGTTCTGATTATGCACCTTGTTATACTCCTATAGCTTATACTCTCCCATCTCAGTCTTTTATTCAACATAGTTTGAAATCCGTCCCATTTTTTACGTGTATCACTGATTTATTCCTTTCATAGATAATTAATATTTTACTGTACGAAATATATCTCTCACATTTCTTAATTCAGTGTGCTTCACAAGACACAGTAAACTAGGTGGCTTAACATAATGACAAATTAATTTCTCATAGTTCTGGAGGCTGAAAGTCTGAGATAATGGTATAGACATGTGCTCTATTGATGGCCCTGTTCTGGATTGTGGATTGCCTGTTTTTCCTTTGTTCTTCACCTGGAGGAAGGAACCTCTTACCTCTTATAAGGGGACATTCTGAGGTTCCTGTCCTCATAACCTAGGTACCTCCTCTATGGGATTCCTGGACCCATTTCCGTTGTGAGGCTGTATTTTGAAGCCTTTCCATGTTTTGATAAGGAATTCTCTGGCACCAGCAAAGTGTCCCCACATTCAACTTAATCCTAACTATGCCTGCGTAGAGATAGCATCATATTCTGTAGGTTGGGGCCTTTGTTTCCTAAGACCCCTTTCCATTTCAGACATCACTTTCAAGCCCAGATTATTATTACCTATGTTTTTGATCAGCTAGCTACAAAGTTGAGCTCCAACAACCTTGTTTTTAAAAATCTCAGGGGCCAGTTCCAAGTTCAGGTTGTTGTCTGTACTGGCCAACTGGTTATAGATCAGAGGATCCCAGGCTCCCTTCTCAGGTTTGACAAATTTTCTTGAGTAGTTTGCAGAACTCAGGAAACCCATTTACCCACTGGATGCAAAGGGAACTGCCAAAGGGAAGAGATGTGGAGGGCAGGTATAGAGGAAGGGCCCAGAACATTCCAGTATCTCCCAAATCTTCACATTTGCCAGCTTGGCGGCTCCCTAAACTCTGTCTTCCGATGACATAGGCAGCTCCATTATAGGCGGGACTGGTAGACTAATTCACAACTAGCAGTTGAACCAACTTCCTAGCCCCCGTTCCCTCCTCAGAGATCACAGGACCGGATGCTCTCCGTACTTGTTGGTTTCCCTAGCAGCCAGCGGGCGTTTCCCAAAAGGTGTCATCATGACTTAATAGGCAGCACTTAAATACTCTCAATGCTTAGAAAATTTCAAGCCAGCAACAGTGGATAAAAACCAAATATAAAAGGCAAATATATTTTGGTCATTTGAGAGATGAAATCTCTCTCTCTCTCTCTCTCTCTTTCAGGGGGTGGGTGGGGTGGGCAGGGCACATGTGGTGGTGCTCAGGGACTACTTATTCCTGCTCTGCACTCAGGGATCACTCCCGGTGGAGCTCACAGAATGATATGTGGGTTGGGGATTGAACCAGAGTTGGGTGCGTGCAAAGCAAGTGCCTTACCCATTGCACTATCTCTTCATATTGGACAATGTCATATTTCTTTTAGAATCCACATCCAAATACCACACAGTGACATTAAGGTTGTGAAATGATATCAGGGGATACTAACCTTCAGTCCACGGGGACTGGGTTGGGGATGGGGGGAAGGCCCATAAGCATTCATTCCACAATACTCATGATTTTTTTTTGTTTTAAATTTCTGAGCCTTTTATTTGTTCTTTCATTGGTGAGCTGTTTAAGTTCCCCCTTTTGGTCTACTATAAATTATGCAGTGTTGACTGTTCTTGTGCAAGTCTTTTTGTCCATTTTCATTTCTCTTGGATCAGTATCATTGAGTAAAATTTCTTACAGATCTAAACTCTAACTTTGAGTAGATATAGTTTAGATCTGTAAGAAATGGCCAGACCTTTATCCAAAGTGGCTCTATCATTTGTTTTTCAACTAATAGTGTGTCCGCGTCTGCTGGTTTTACATCGTCAGCAATATTTGATGATATCAGTCTTTTTAATTATAGACATTTTAGTGGATATTTAGTGGTAATTTAGTGGTACCTCACTGTGGCTTAATGTATTTTTTCCCTCTGTGCCTTTCTATATTTTAGTGTTGGAACAAACCAGAGCTATCAAGAGAGTCACTTTTTCAACTTCAGCAGTCATTATCCTCATGGAATCAACACAGCTATCTACCATCCTGCACATAGGTAAGCAGCCCTTTTTCCTTCCCTTATATTTTGTAATTGGATGGATGCAGAAATCTGTATTTCAGAGATGAAATGGCTCACTTTCAATTTGTTTTTATTTTGTCCTTTTTTTTTCCTGATTATTTTATTTATTTATTTTTCCTCTTTTGTGTAGAATATTTCTTTTTTTTAGTTTTTATTAGTGAGACATCATGAGGTACAGTTGTAGACTTAACAAATTTTTGTGCTTGGGTTTCAGTTATACAATGGTCAGATACCCATCCCTCCACCAGTGCCCATTTGTAATATTTTTTTTTTGTAGAATAGGACCTATATCTCCGATTAGAATGTCAGATACTCAATGGCAAAAAGTGTGCAGCTTATGTCTTTGTAAGTGCAACAGCATCTAGTGACAGAGCTCTGTTCTTTGGTTTTGATTCCTCTTTCTCTGGGTTTTCCTTGGACAAGTAACTTTTAATTTATTGAATGGAGAATAAAAATTACTGTTTCTTCCGTTGGTTTTTCTCTTCTGTTTTGCTTCTCTTTTGCTATATTCTTTATTTCTCATGTTTCTGTTTTGACCTTCATGTCCCTTTTAAAATATGTGTATGTTGTATCATAATCCTCTGTGTTTTTTTTTTTTTGCTTTATTTAGTTTATAGCCACTACACTTTTGTACTGATGTATTATAAAAGTCAGTATTTGATTACTCTTTCCTAGCAGTGTTTCAGGAGGATAAATAGGTTTCACTTGGGAGCATAGTTTTAAAATTATGTGACTTGAGAGCAATTTTTAATAAGCGAAAACCACATTTACTGCCCTTAAGAATTTCTGTTTTTTGATTTAGTATTTAAGCAAAGGAAAGTGTTTTTTTTTTTGTTTGTTTTCTTCTTTTTAGGTGGGGGGGATTGTCTTTCATAAAAATTTTGGAAGTAAATATATTAACAAACGATGAAAAGAAAGCTTCTAGTTGGTTCTGCAATCATATGCAACTCTTGAAAAGCAATCAAGTTGGAGATGGATGAATGCATTAAGTTTTCTGAATGAAAATGGTTATAAAGCAAGGAGTCTGTGTAAATGCCCTGTTGTGCATGACAAAAATATTGCTAGGTTGTTTATATTTTCCATTATGTCGTCTTTTTTAAATGAAAGAAGCTGAAATATTCATCACAGTTTTATTTATTTTCAGTTTCCCTAGTAATGTGAGCATGTGATATTTATCACCCACAAGAATTTTATAGATGTGAAATAAATCAGCCAGAGTGGAGTGGGGATAAATTGGTAATATACAAACTCAGGGTTTTATGAAATTCATCGTAATGTCCGATGCTGTGTGCACCATTGAAGGAGAGAAATTGAAGTGGTAAATTGCGTAATACGAAACAAAAATTAATTGAGAAGCTTTGGAATATGCTCTATGGATTTGCTGATTTCGACTATTTCTTCATAATGTATTCTAACTTGTAGCCTAGGGAATGTATTTTAACTTCTCAGAGTATCTTATGTTCTGCTTCTCCTCTTTCACCCACCTATGCCTTGCTTTTCTTTCTTTCTTTTCTTTTTTTTAATGTTCTTTTGATTCTGTTAATTTTGTCTTAGAGCTGACTCTCATTCCAGCAAGAGGAACCTTTTACTTTCCCCTCATTCTCAGAAGGGATAGCATTAAACCTTTATTATAGATGTGTGCGTACTCAGTGGTAGAGATTCAGCTGTAGGACCTGCCTTTTAGCTGGGTACAGTGTAGTTTGGGAATCACTAACAGATAAGGGCATTCACTTAATAAACCCAGATTATTTATATATGTGTTGTAAAGCAGTATATTACCTTAGGTCTGTAGCTTCATACAAAGGTTCTGTTCTTAATCTTGTAAATTTAGATAGTCAAAATATTAATGTGCTCAGTCTTCAGTCTTCAATAGTAATTTATTAGTAACATACAGATAATGAATATTGGAAGGTAAATTCTTTTATACCTCATTTTAGGAATGACAAAAAAACAGAAGACACACCTTCTTTCCTGGGTCCTTTTGAGAAGTTATCACTCATTCTCAGAATCACTGAGAACTCTGAGATGTTTTGTTTGTATAATTTAGTGCATTGTAGTGAATATATAGTTGTACAACCATTGCTACAATTTAAGAATATTTCCATTGCCCCTAAATATCTCCTTTAATGGAATGTAAATCAGACCCCAATAAAACTAATAAAGTGTAATTAATCAGAAAGCAAAAATATCCTTTAAATATGCTTTCATTTAAATGCTTTTATCTCTGTGTTCAAAAGATGCCCAGGTTTTTGTTAAAAAAGAATACTCATATTTCTCCCCTACATTTTCTGGGGGAAATCCTGGCTGACTAGTGGTGTATGTCATGGTTGTACAAAGGAAAATCCACACATTTGAATGTTTAACTTTTTTTCCCTTAGGCTAAATGCAGATCCTGTATAAAGAACTTGTGGCAAAATTTACAGAAATCATTAGACAATTTTATCGTAATGCAATGTTTTCTTTCCTGAAAGTAAGATTATAGTCAAATAGGAATGAGTGGCCGAAGGGTGTGAAGTAACTGTTTTCTTGCTGTTCACTTAGGGAAAGAGGGGGTAATATCTTGAAGGAATGGCATGCTGATGTGCTAAATGGTTTTATGTGTAACGATTTGGCAGTTTTGTGGGCTGCTGATTAGCCTTCAGTAAAACCTTAAGCCTTTAAAATAAGTAGGTCCCTTTTTATGGGAAAGAATATTCCAAGCATGGAGATGGTACTTAGTAGAAGCTTAAAATGTGTGTGTGTGAGTGAGTGTGCAGCTGCCGTTTCACGGATGATAACGGACCCTGAAATGAAATAAAAACAGTCATGGGCATAGGGTGTTCAGTAGAGATGCAGAGAAGTTACACTCTTTTCTTAATGTGTCACTCTTGTTTAGGAAAATGGAGGTTGGTTTCACTAATATTTAAATTTGATCTGTGAAGGTTGTACTGAGAGTTCTCTGCCTTAAAGTTTTGTTCAGATTTTGAGCATGAGCAAATTTTGTCTACCTCTGAGGTGCATGTTGCCTTTTAATCTATAAGGTACTTCTGAAAGCCAGTCCATGAACTTTAATGCCTGTTCCATTGCTATACAGTAGCCCATCTGTCTTTCTGGTTTCTAAGGGCAAGTGTATTCTGTGAGAATCAGGGCGCTGGCATTGTGAAAAATTAGACTGTAATAGCTGCCGGATGAACAGTTAGGTGTAAATTACACTAGGAAATTTTTCATGAGCTCTAGATATGATTAATAATTTTATGAAGAATTGCTTCTAGGAAAGGGACTCACATCGTCTTCATGATCACTGCTGGTCTCTTACTAATGTGAAAATGGGGTTAGCCTTTGATAACGTAGGGAGAGTTGGCACTTGAGACATAATGTGCAGTCTTCTACCTCAAAGAATGAATGTCAGTAATCCAGTGGACATTATTTTAAGAACTTTTTCATTTCTCATTCCTCCAGTGTGAAATAGTTTTTCTTTCCCTTGGTTCAGGTTGAGTTTTTGAAGGGAAATGAAGAGATAGTGTGGACTGGCGAGAAAGCTGCATTGGCTAATTAGAGGTATATTCCTGTTGGCGGTCTCTCTGGCACGACCCCTTGACCACTAGAGGTCGCTGGGCCTGTAGGGAATGGCCTGGGCCTTGACTTCTCAGGGAACTAGCCTGTTGCTGGGGAAATCTGACATTTCTAAGAATAACACAGATTAATGGTTCTTGATGGCTGGTTTGAGAACTGGGAAACACGCATCACTGGGTGTCAGCATTATTTCACCTTCCTCTGCCTCAGAGCCTCACGGACAGTATCTTCCTCTGCCACCTGTTAGTACATGTAGGTGCATTCCCTCAGCCTCTGTTTAACCATTGCTTTTCCTAAGAAATTTTGTCATGACTACAAGTCTGTGGCCTCTGTGGGTGGCTTTGTTTTGGCCCTGCTGCATGTGCAAATCTGTGACCATCTGTTGCCCTATACTAATGGACATTTTCCATAATCACGGGGTCCCTGTAGTACTGAAACTACATATGCCTTAAGATGTGAATGAGGGATTTGCTGAGCTTACCATTGTAATGATTTTTTTTTTTTGCGGTCACAAGGGTTTTAGTTTTGGTGGGAGAGGCATGGAAGCAATCTCTGATGTTTTTATCTAGAATATTTAAAAAAATATATATATTTTGGTGCTGGGGGACAACACCTGTCTGTGCTCAGGTTTACTCCTGGCTCTGTAGTGAGGGATTACTCCTGGTGATGCTTGGGACTATAGGTGGTGCTGGGGATCGAACCTGGGTTGGCTGCATGCAAGGCAACCAATCACCTTACCTGCTGTACTATCTCTCTGGCCCCAGAATACATTTTGATAGGTAGATATGTGTGACTCAGAGGTATCTTCGTCTTAAGCGGACTGACTCCTAAGTAGGAGAGAAAATGCTTAGTAGTTGAATTTTTTTTGCCCTTTGCTTTGAAAAAAATATTATTTGGGAATTAACTTTAGCCTGGACTGGAGCGATAGCACAGTGTGTAGGGCATTTGCCTTGTACACGGCTGACCCGGGTTCGATTCCTCCGTCCCTCTTGGAGAGCCCAGCAAGGGTATCCCGCCCGCATGGCGGACCCTGGCAAGCTCCCTGTGGCGTATTCTATATGCCAAAAGCAGTAACAACAAGTCTCAAAATGGAGATGTTACTGCTGCCTGCTCGAGCAACTAGATGAACAGGACGGCTGTGCTACAGTGCTAACTTTAGCCTATTTATCACCCTTTGTACATTCATTTTTTAGGAGGGCCTCATTTAACTTGTAACAGTCCTATGGATGTTTCAAGACCTTTATAGATAAATTTGTTCATCTGGTTTACCAGTCACCAAACCAATCACCTTTTCCCCCAGAACATTTTGTTTATTGTTTAGCTTGATACAGCTTTATATATTCATGAATTTCATTAATAGTAAGCAAGATACTTTTTTCTTTGACTGAAATCCACCTTTCCCCTGCCCCTACTTGGGCCATATT